CCATTCTCCCGCTTTCCATCGCCCCGCCCCAATCTCCCGCTTTCCATCACCCCGCCCCATTCTCCCTCTTTCCATCACCCCACCCCATTCTGCCTCTTCCCATCGCCTCGCCCCATTCTCCCTCTTTCCATCACCCCGCCCATTCTCCCGCTTTCCATCACCCCGCCTCATTCTCCCTCTTTCCATCGCCCCGCCCCATTCTCCCGCTTTCCTTCGCCCCGCCCCATTCTCCCTCTTTCCATCACCCAGCCCCATTCTCCCTCTTTCCATCACCCAGCCCCATTCTCCCTCTTTCCATCACCCCGCCCCTTTCTCCCTCTTTCCATCACCCCGCCCCATTCTCCCTCTTTCCATCAACCCGCCCAATTCTCCCTCTTTCCATCACCCCGCCCCATTCTCCTGATTTCCATCACCCCGCCCCATTCTCCCTCTTTCCATCGCCCCGCCCCATTCTCCCTCTTTCCATCACCCCGCCCCATTCTCCCGCTTTCCATCACCCCGACCCATTCCCCCTCTTTCCATCGCCCTGCCCCATTCTCCCTCTTTCCATCACCCAGCCCCATTCTCCCTCTTTCCATCACCCAACCCCATTCTCCCTCTTTCCATCACCCCGCCCCATTCTCCCTCTTTCCATCACCCCGCCCCATTCTCCCTCTTTCCATCACCCTGCCCCATTCTCCCTCTTTCCATCACCCCGCCCCGTTCTCCCTCTTTCCATCACCCAGCCCCATTCTCCCTCTTTCTATCACCCAGCCCTTCCATCACCCAGCCCCATTCTCCCTCTTTCCATCACCCCGCCCCATTCTCCCTCTTTCCATCACCCCGCCTCATTCTCCCGCTTTCCATCACCCCGCCCCATTCTCCCGCTTTCCATCACCCCGCCCCATTCTCCCTCTTTCCATCACCCCGCCCCATTTTGCCTCTTCCCATCGCCCTGCCCCATTCTCCCTCTTTCCATCACCCCGCCCCATTCTCCCTCTTTCCATCACCCTGCTCCGTTCTCCCGCTTTCCATCACCCCGCCTCATTCTCCCTCTTTTCATCGCCCCGCCCCATTCTCCCGCTTTCCATCGCCCCGCCCCATTCTCCCTCTTTCCATCACCCAGCCCCATTCTCCCTCTTTCTATCACCCAGCCCCTCCATCACCCAGCCCCATTCTCCCTCTTTCCATCACCCCACCCCATTCTCCCTCTTCCCATCGCCCTGCCCCATTCTCCCTCTTTCCATCACCCCGCCCCATTCTCCCTCTTTCCATCACCCTGCTCCGTTCTCCCGCTTTCCATCACCCCGCCTCATTCTCCCTCTTTTCATCGCCCCGCCCCATTCTCCCGCTTTCCATCGCCCCGCCCCATTCTCCCTCTTTCCATCACCCAGCCCCATTCTCCCTCTTTCTATCACCCAGCCCCTCCATCACCCAGCCCCATTCTCCCTCTTTCCATCACCCCACCCCATTCTCCCTCTTTCCATCGCCCCGCCTCATTCTCCCTCTTTCCATCGCCCCGCCCCATTCTCCCGCTTTCCATCTCCCCGCCCCATTCTCCCGCTTTCCATCACCCCGCCCCATTCTCCCGATTTCCATCACCCCGCCCCATTCTCCCGCTTTCAATCACCCCGCCCCATTCTCCAACTTTCCATCACCCCGCCCCATTCTCCCGCTTTCCATCACCCCGACCCATTCTCACGCTTTCCATCGCCCTGCCCCATTCTCCCGCTTTCCATCCCCCCGCCCCATTCTCCCGCTTTCCATCACCCCGCCCCATTCTCCCTCTTTCCATCACCCCGCCCCATTCTGCCTCTTCCCATCGCCGCGCCCCATTCTCCCTCTTTCCATCACCCCGCCCCATTCTCCCTCTTTCCATCACCCCGCCCCGTTCTCCCGCTTTCCATCACCCCGCCTCATTCTCCCTCTTTTCATCGCCCCGCCCCATTCTCCCGCTTTCCATCGCCCCGCCCCATTCTCCCTCTTTCCATCACCCAGCCCCATTCTCCCTCTTTCTATCACCCAGCCCCTCCATCACCCAGCCCCATTCTCCCTCTTTCCATCACCCCACCCCATTCTCCCTCTTTCCATCACCCCGCCTCATTCTCCCGCTTTCCATCACCCCGCCCCATTCTCCCGCTTTCCATCACCCCGCCTCATTCTCCCTCTTTCCATCGCCCCGCCTCATTCTCCTTCTTTCCATCGCCCCGCCCCATTCTCCCGCTTTCCATCTCCCCGCCCCATTCTCCCGCTTTCCATCACCCCGCCCCATTCTCCCGCTTTCCATCACCCCGCCCCATTCTCCCGCTTTCAATCACCCCGCCCCATTCTCCCGCTTTCCATCACCCCGCCCCATTCTCCCGCTTTCCATCACCCCGCACCATTCTCACGCTTTCCATCGCCCTGCCCCATTCTCCCGCTTTCCATCGCCCCGCCCGAATCTCCCGCTTTCCATCCCCCTGCCCCATTCTCCCTCTTTCCATCACCCCGCCCCATTCTGCCTCTTCCCATCGCCCCGCCCCATTCTCCCTCTTTCCATCACCCCACCCCATTCTCCCGCTTTCCATCACCCCGCCTCATTCTCCCTCTTTCCATCGCCCCGCCCCATTCTCCCGCTTTCCATCGCCCCGCCCCATTCTCCCTCTTTCCATCACCCAGCACCATTCTCCCTCTTTCCATCACCCCGCCCCATTCTCCCTCTTTCCATCACCCCGCCCCATTCTCCCTCTTTCTATCACCTCGCCCCATTCTCCCGCTTTCCATCACCCCGCCCCATTCTCCCTCTTTCCATTGCCCCCCCCCCCCATTCTCCCTCTTTCCATCACCCTGCCCCATTCTCCCGCTTTCCATCACCCCGCCCCATTCTCCCTCTTTCCATCACCCCGCCCCATTCTCCCTCTTTCCATCACCCCGCCCCATTCTCCCTCTTTCCATCACCCTGCCCCGTTCTCTCGCTTTCCATCGCCCCGTCCCATTCTCCCTCTTTCCATTGCCCCGCCCCATTCTCCCGGTTTCCATCACCCCGCCCGATTCTCTATCTTTCCATCACCCCGCCCTCTTCTCCCTCATTCCATTACCCCGCCCCGTTCTCCCGCTTTCCATCACCCCGCCCCATTCTCCCGCTTTCCATCACCCCGCCCCATTCTCCCTCTTTCCATCACCCAGCCCCATTCCCTTCTTTCAAACACCCCGCCCCATTATCCCGCTTTCCATCACCCAGCCCCAGTCTCCCTCTGTCCATCACCCAGCCCCATTCTCCCTCTTCCCATCAACCAGCCCCATTCTCCCTCTTTCCATCTCCCCTCCCCATTCTCCCTCTTTCCATCCCCCAGCCCCATTCTCCCGCTTTCCATCACCCCGCCCCATTCTCCTGCATTCCATCGCCCCGCCTCATTCTCCCGCTTTCCATCGCCCCGCCCCATTCTCCCTCTTTCCATCACCCCGCCCCATTCTCCCGCTTTCCATCACCCTGCCCTATTCTCCCTCTTTCCATCACCCCGCCCCATTCTCCCTCTTTCAATCACCCCGCCCCATTCTCCTACTTTCCATCACCCCGCCCCATTCTCCCTCTATCCATCACCCGCCCCATTCTCCCTCTTTCCATCACCCTGCCCCATTCTCCCTCTTTCCATTACCCTGCCCCGTTCTCCCTATTTCCATCACACCGCCCCATTCTCCCTCTTTCCATCACCCCGCCCCATTCTCCTGCTTTCCATCGCCCCGCCCCATTCTCCCGGTTTCCATCACCCCGCCCCATTCTCCCTCTTTCCATCACCCAGCCCCATTCTCTTGCTTTCCATCACCCCGCCCCGTTCTCCCTCTTTCCATTACCCCGCCCCGTTCTCCCGCTTTCCATCACCCCACCCCATTCTCCCGCTTTCCATCGCCCCGCCCCATTCTCCCGCTTTCCATCTCCCCGCCCCATTCTCCCGCTTTCCATCACCCCGCCCCATTCTCCCGCTTTCCATCACCCTGCCCCATTCTCCCGCTTTCCATCACCCCGCCCCACTCTCCCGCTTTCCATCACCCCGCCCCATTCTCCCGCTTTCCATCACCCCGCCCCATTCTCCCGCTTTCCATCACCCCGCCCCATTCTCCCGCTTTCCATCACCCCGCCCCATTCTCCCGCTTTCCATCACCCCGCCCCATTCTCTAGCTTTCCAACGCCCAGCCCCATTCTCCCGCTTTCCATCGGCCCGCCCCATTCTCCTGCTTTCCATCACCCCGCCCCATTCTCCCGCTTTCCATCACCCCGCCCCATTATCCCGCTTTCCATCACCCCGCCCCATTCTCCCGCTTTCCATCGCCCCGCCCCATTCTCCCGCTTTCCATCACCCCGCCCCATTCTCCCTCTTTCCATCACCCCGCCCCATTCTCCCGCTTGCCCCGCCCCATTCTCCCGCTTTCCATCACCCCGCCCCATTCTCCCGCTTTCCATCACCCCGCCCCATTCTCCCGTTTTCCATCACCCAGCCCCATTCTCCCTCTTTCCATCACCCCGCCCCATTCTCCCTCGTTCAATCACCCTGCACTATTCTCCCTCTTTCCATCACCCCGCCCCATTCTCCCGCTTTCCATCACCCCGCCCCATTCTCCCGCATTCCATCACCCCGCCCCACTCTCCCGCTTTCCATCACCCCGTCCCATTCTCCCGCTTTCCATCACCCCACCCCATTCTCCCTCTTTCCATCGCCCCGCCCCATTCTCCCTCTTTCCATCGCCCCGCCCCATTCTCCCGCTTTCCATCTCCCCGCCCCATTCTCCCTCTTTCCATCACCCCGCCCCATTCTCCCGCTTTCCATCACCCCGCCCCATTCTCCCGCTTTCCATCACCCCGCCCCATTCTCCCGCTTTCCATCACCCCGCCCCATTCTCCCTGCGAAGAAAGCTATTCTACAGGACAGCTGAATTGCGTGGGACGCATGGTCAGAGTTATGGCAGTAATTCTTGACAGAGTGGTTGGTTGCCTTGGTAGAACTCAAGCATAGTTTCACTAAGAAAAGTTTCACTACGACACAGAGATGGAGGCGCGCCTTGAGTCGACTCACAGGTCGCGCGAGGCGGAGCGACAAGGGCACCGAGATGGAGAGGTGCGTGGGGCTCGCTACGGCACAGAGATGGAGGCGCGCCTTGAGTCGACTCACAGGTCGCGCGAGGCGGAGCGACAAGGGCACCGAGATGGAGAGGTGCGTGGGGCTCGCTACGGCACAGAGATGGAGGCGCGCCTTGAGTCGACTCACAGGTCGCGCGAGGCGGAGCGACAAGGGCACCGAGATGGAGAGGTGCGTGGGGCTCGCTACGGCACAGAGATGGAGGCGCGCCTTGAGTCGACTCACAGGTCGCGCGAGGCGGAGCGACAAGGGCACCGAGATGGAGAGGTGCGTGGGGCTCGCTACGGCACAGAGATGGAGGCGCGCCTTGAGTCGACTCACAGGTCGCGCGAGGCGGAGCGACAAGGGCACCGAGATGGAGAGGTGCGTGGGGCTCGCTACGGCACAGAGATGGAGGCGCGCCTTGAGTCGACTCACAGGTCGCGCGAGGCGGAGCGACAAGGGCACCGAGATGGAGAGGTGCGTGGGGCTCGCTACGGCACAGAGATGGAGGCGCGCCTTGAGTCGACTCACAGGTCGCGCGAGGCGGAGCGACAAGGGCACCGAGATGGAGAGGTGCGTGGGGCTCGCTACGGCACAGAGATGGAGGCGCGCCTTGAGTCGACTCACAGGTCGCGCGAGGCGGAGCGACAAGGGCACCGAGATGGAGAGGTGCGTGGGGCTCGCTACGGCACAGAGATGGAGGCGCGCCTTGAGTCGACTCACAGGTCGCGCGAGGCGGAGCGACAAGGGCACCGAGATGGAGAGGTGCGTGGGGCTCGCTACGGCACAGAGATGGAGGCGCGCCTTGAGTCGACTCACAGGTCGCGCGAGGCGGAGCGACAAGGGCACCGAGATGGAGAGGTGCGTGGGGCTCGCTACGGCACAGAGATGGAGGCGCGCCTTGAGTCGACTCACAGGTCGCGCGAGGCGGAGCGACAAGGGCACCGAGATGGAGAGGTGCGTGGGGCTCGCTACGGCACAGAGATGGAGGCGCGCCTTGAGTCGACTCACAGGTCGCGCGAGGCGGAGCGACAAGGGCACCGAGATGGAGAGGTGCGTGTGTTGAAATAATAGGCATGACTTAGGACTAGGTAACTAGGGTTTAGCCTAGGCAAAAGGAGGAGTCCAAGCAAAGGAGAGGTTGCACTATGAAAAGAGAGGTACAAATAGAAGAGAACCAGCAAGGAGTGGTGCACCACCACACAGAACACTAGGTAACTACTCTACAGCTAGGACTACATGCACTTATACAGACATATATATATGATATATTCTAACACACCCCCTAAGTGCATGCAGGAATAGCCATTGAGCAGAATACCCATGAATTGGTACACCCTGTAGGGCGCAGCAAAAGTAGAGGCGTAGGGACGAGGAGGAGAAGGAACAGTGAGGAGAGTGGAGAGAGAAGGCGACGGGTGAAGCCGCAGTCGCACGGGCAACAGGAGCGGCGCGCAAAGTGGCTACCGAGCGCACGAGGGCATCGGACTACGGGAGTATCTGACTCCGCGGCTACGACGAGCGGCAGGAGTAACGGACCCACAGGCGACTGGCAAAGCAGGCTCGCAGGGCTACCGAGAGCACGAGGGCTCCGGACTACTGGCGCTGCTGACAACACGATGGCGACCTCCGCTCAACCTCCCCTAACTGTCCCACACCCCCTTCTCACACACCCCGTGCTGCACCCCGAGATCCACTACCACGGCACCCCCCTAGCGCCACTCCCCTCGGCTCCCACACATCCACCCCCCTCAGCGGCAGCTGCAGCAGTGGGAGACGGAGGAGAAGGAAGGGACGACGCACACGTATCACCCCCACACCCGCCACCCCCATACCCTCCGTTCCACGGCTGTCACGTGAGGCAGAGCGACGATGGCACTGAGATGGAGGGGTGCGTGGGGCTCAATACGGCACAGAGATGGAGGCGCGCTTTGAGTCGACTGACATGTCACGTGAGGCAGAGCGACGAGGGGACTGAGATGGAGGGGTGCGTGGGGCTCAATACGACACCGGGATGGAGGCGCGCTTTGAGTCGACTGACAAGTCACGTGAGGCAGGGGCACTGAGATAGAGGGGTGCGTGGGGCTCAATACGACACCGGGATGGAGGCGCGCTTTGAGTCGACTGACAAGTCACGTGAGGCAGAGCGACGAGGGCACTGAGATGGAGAGGTGCGTGGGGCTCAATACGCCACAGAGATGGAGGCGCGCTTTGAGTCGACTCACAAGTCACGTGAGGCAGAGCGACGAGGGCACTGAGATGGAGAGGTGCGTGGGGCTCAATACAGCACAGAGATGGAGGCGCGCTTTGAGTCGACTCACAAGTCACGTGAGGCAGAGCGACGAGGGCACTGAGATGGAGAGGTGCGTGTGGCTCAATACAGCACACCCCCATAGCCAAAGTGGGGTGTAATCAGCACAACAAGCAGGCATAGAAATAGTTCACAATTACAAGCAAAGCTAGAGGCTATCACAGAGGGCAAGTGAGGAGGAGTGACTGTGAGAGGAGAGTTGACTGGAGGCGAAGGCTGAAGCTGCAGTCACACGGGCTACAGGAGCAAGGGCCCCGGAATACTGGAGTAACAGACTCCGCTGCTACGACGAGCGACAGGAGCTACGGACCCACAGGCGACTGGCGCAGGCTGGCACAGTGGCTACCGGAGCAAGGGCCCCGGACTACAGGAGTAACAGACTCCGCGGCTACGACGAGCGGCAGGAGCTACGGACCCACAGGCGACTGGCGCAGCAAGCTCGCTGGGCTACCGAGAGCAAGGGCTCCGGACTACTGGCGCTGCTGGCGACACGACGACGACCTCCGCGCGCTCCTCCCCAGGGCGCCAAGACGGACAGGCGGGGGGGACGCGCGTGGCTCCCAAGGGCGCCGCGACAGACGGGCGGGGGGCGCACGCGGCTCCCCAAGGCCGCACGGCGGGCAGACGGGCCGCGCGCGGCCTGCAGACCAGCGCGCGACCTGCAGGGCGACGCGACGGGAAGGGCGGGGTGTTGCGCGCGGGTCCCCCACGGCAGAAAACCGCCGCGCACCTCGGGGCGCACGGCGGGCAGAAACTCGCCGCGCGCCCCGAGCGCACGGCGGCAGGAAGAAGACGGCGCGCTCCCGAGGCGCGCGAGAAGCAGAACAGCAGCGGAAGCAGTTAGGTGGCGGGCCCACCCACAGGATCGACCCAAGGGGGTCGACCTGCTCTGAAACCATGTCAGAACTAGCAGCAGAAACAAGAATGAAGAAAGGAGGGGTTTCACTAGCAAGCAGTTGGATACATATAGCAAACCCTAATTGGGCTGTACTCACTATGGAGTACCCCACTGCAGGCTACACAAATAACATACTCTGACATCGGACGCAAGCGAATTGGGCGCAAGGGAATCGGGCGCAAGGGAATCGGGCGCAAGGGAATCGGGCGCAAGCGAATCGGGCGCAAGGGAATCGGGCGCAAGCGAATCGGGCGCAAGCGAATCGGGCGCAAGGGAATCGGGTGCAAGGGAGTCGGGCGCAAGGGAATCGGGCGCAAGCGAATCGAGCGCAAGGGAATCGGGCGCAAGCGAATCGGACGCAAGCGAATCGGGCGCAAGGAAATCGGGCGCAAGCGAATCGGGCGCAAGGGAGTCGGGCGCGCAAGCCAATCGGGCGCAAGCGAGTCGGGCGCAAGGGAATCGGGCGCAAGCGAATCGGGCGCAAGAGAATCGAGCGCAAGCGAATCGGGCGCAAGCGAATCGGGCGCAAGGGAATCGGGCGCAAGGGAGTCGGGCGCAAGGGAGTCGGGCGCAAGCGAATCGGGCGCAAGCGAATCGGGCGCAAGCGAATCGGGCGCAAGGGAATCGGGCGCAAGCGAATCGGGCGCAAGCGAATCGGGCGCAAGCGAATCGGGCGCAAGCAAATCGGGCGCAAGCGAATCGGGCACAAGCGAATCGGGCGCAAGGGAATCGGGCGCAAGCGAATCGGGCGCAAGCGAATCGGGCGCAAGGGAGTCGGGCGCAAGGGAGTCGGGCGCAAGGGAATCGGGCGCAAGCGAATCGGGCGCAAGGGAATCGGGCGCAAGCGAATCGGGCGCAAGCGAATCGGGCGCAAGGGAATCGGGCGGAAGGGATTCGGGCACAAGGGAATCGGGCGCAAGCAAGTCGGGCGCAAGGGAATCGGGCGCAAGGGAATCGGGCGCAAGCGAATCGGGCGCAAGCGAATCGGGCGCAAGCGAATCGGGCGCAAGCGAATCGGGCGCAAGGGAGTCGGGCGCAAGCGAATCGGGCGCAAGCGAGTCGGGCACAAGCGAATCGGGCGCTAGCGAATCGGGCGCATGGGAATCGGGCGCAAGGGAATCGGGTGCAAGGGAATCGGGCCCAAGGGAATCGGGCGCAAGCGAATCGGGCGCAAGGGAGTCGGGCGCAAGGGAGTCGGGCGCAAGGGAGTCGAGCGCAAGGGAATCGGGCGCAAGAGAGTCGGGCGCAAGGGAATCGGGCGCAAGCGAATCGGGCGCAAGCGAATCGGGCGGAAGGGATTCGGGCGCAAGGGAATCGGGCGCAAGCGAATCGGACGCAAGGGAGTCGGGCGCAAGGGAGTCGGGCGCAAGGGAGTCGGGCGCAAGGGAATCGGGCGCAAGCGAATCGGGCGCAAGCGAATCGGGCGAAGAGAGTCGAGCGCAAGGGAATCGGGCGCAAGCGAATCGGGCGCAAGCGAATCGGGCGGAAGGGTTTCGGGCGCAAGGGAATCGGGCGCAAGCAAGTCGGGCGCAAGCGAGTCGGGCGTAAGCGAATCGGGGCAAGCGAATCGGGCTTAAGGGAATCGGGCGCAAGGGAATCGGGCACAAGGAAATCAGGCGCAAGGGAATCGGACGCAAGCGAATCGGGCGCAAGGGAATCGGGCGCAAGCGAATCGAGCGCAAGCGAATCGGGCGCAAGGGAATCGGGCGCAAGCGAATCGGGCGCAAGCGAATTGGGCGCAAGGGAATCGGGCGCAAGGGAATCGGGCGCAAGGGAATCGGGCGCAAGCGAATCGGGCGCAAGGGAGTCGGGCGCAAGCGAGTCAGGCGCGCAAGCGAATCGGGCGCAAGCGAGTCGGGTGCAAGGGAATCGGGCGCAAGGGAATCGGGTGCAAGCGAATCGGGCGCAAGGGAATCGGGCGCAAGCGAATCGGGCGCAAGCGAATCGGGTGCAAGCAAATCGGGCGCAAGGGAGTCGGGCGCAAGGGAGTCGGGCGCAAGTGAATCGGGCGCAAGCGAATCGGCCGCAAGGGAATCGGGCGCAAGCGAATCGGGCGCAAGCGAATCGGGCACAAGGGAGTCGGGCGCAAGGGAATCGGGCGCAAGCGAATCGGGCGCAATGGAATCGGGCGGAAGGGATTCGGGCGCAAGGGAATCAGGCGCAAGCAAGTCGGGCGCAAGCGAATCGGGCGCAAGCGAATCGGGCGCAAGCGAATCGGGCGCAAGCGAGTCGGAGGCAAGGGAATCGGGCGCAAGGGAATCGGGCGCAAGGGAATCGGGCGCAAGCGAATCGGGCGCAAGCGAATCGGGCGCAAGCGAATCGGGCGCAAGGGAGTCGGGCACAAGCAAATCGGGCGCAAGCGAGTCAGGCGCAAGCGAATCGGGCGCAAGCGAATCGGGCGCATGGGAATCGGGCGCAAGGGAATCAGGCCCAAGGGAATCGGGCGCAAGGGAATCAGGCGCAAGGGAATCGGGCGCAAGCGAATCGGGCGCAAGGGAGTCGGGCGCAAGCGAGTCCGGCGCAAGCGAATCGGGCGCAAACGAGTCAGGCACAAGGGAATCGGGCGCAAGGTAATCGGGCGCAAGCGATTCGGGCGCAAGGGAATCAGGCGCAAGCGAATCGGGCGCAAGCGAATCGGGCGCAAGCGAATCGGGCGCAAGGGAGTCGGGCGCAAGGGAGTCGGGCGCAAGCGAATGGGGTGCAAGCAAATCGGGCGCAAGCGAATCGGGCGCAAGGGAATCGGGCGCAAGCGAATCGGGCGCAAGCGAATCGGGCGCAAGCGAATCGGGTGCAGGGAATCGGGAGCAAGCGAATCGGGAGCAAGTGAAACGGGCGCAAGGGAGTCGGGCGCAAGGGAGTCGGGCCCAAGGGAATCGGGCGCAAGCGAATCGGGCGCAAGGGAATCGGGCGCAAGCGAATCGGGCGCAATCGAGTCGGGCGCAAGGGAATCGGGCGCAAGCGAATCGGGCGCAAGCGAATCGGGCGCAAGGGAATCGGGCGGAAGGGATTCGGGCGCAAGGGAATCGGGCGCAAGCAAGTCGGGCGCAAGCGAGTCGGGCGCAAGCGAGTCGGGCGCAATCGAATCGGGCGCAAACGTGTCGGAGGCGAGGGAATCGGGCGCAAGGGAATTGGGCGCAAGGAAATCGGGCGCAAGGGAATCGGACGCAAGCAAATCGGGCGCAAGGGAATCGGGCACAAGCGAATCGGGCGCAAGCGAATCGGGCGCAAGCGAATCGGGCGCATGGGAATCGGGCGCAAGGGAATCGGGCGCAAGGGAATCGGGCGCAAGGGAATCGGGCGCAAGGGAATCGGGCGTAAGAAAATCGGGCGCAAGGGAGTCGGGCGCAAGGGAGTCGGGTGCAAGCGAATCGGGCGCAAACGAGTCGGGCGCAAGGGAATCGGGCGCAAGGGAATCGGGTGCAAGCGATTCGGGCGCAAGGGAATCAGGCGCAAGCGAATCGGGCGCAAGCGAATCGGGCGCAAGCGAATCGGGCGCAAGGGAGTCGGGCGCAAGGGAGTCGGGCGCAAGCGAATCGGGCGCAAGCGAATCGGGCGTTAGCAAATCGGGCGCAAGCGAATCGGGTGCAGGGAATCGGGCGCAAGCGAATCGGGCGCTAGTGAATCGGGTGCAAGGGAGTCGGGCGCAAGGGAGTCGGGCGCAAGGAAATCGGGCGCAAGCGAATCGGGCGCAAGGGAATCGGGAGCAAGCGAATCGGGTGCAGGGAATCGGGCGCAAGCGAATCTTGCGCAAGTGAATCGGGCGCAAGGGAGTCGGGCGCAAGGGAGTCGGGCGCAAGGGAATCGGCACAAGCGAATCGGGCGCAAGGGAATCGGGCGCAAGCGAATCGGGCGCAATCGAGTCGGGCGCAAACGAATCGGGCGCAAGCGAATTGGGCGCAAGCGAATCGGGCGCAAGGGAATCGGGCGGAAGGGATTCGGGCGCAAGGGAATCGGGCGCAAGCAAGTGGGGCGCAAGCGAGTCGGGTGCAAGCGAATCGGGCGCAAGCGAATCGGGCGCAAGCGAATCGGGCGCAATCGAGTCGGAGGCGAGGGAATCGGGCGCAAGGGAATCGGGCGCAAGGAAATCGGGCGCAAGGGAATCGGGCGCAAGCGAAACCAGGCGCAAGGGAATCGGGCGCAAGCGAATCTGGCGCAAGCGAATCGGGCGCAAGCAAATCGGGCGCAAGGGAATCGGGCGCAAGGGAATCGGGCGCAAGGTAATCAGACGCAAGGGAATCGGGCCCAAGCGAATCGGGCGCAAGGGAATCGGGCGCAAGCGAATCGGGCGCAAGCGAATCGGGCGCAAGCGAATCGGGCACAAGGGAATCGGGCGCAAGCGAATCGGGCGCAAGGGAGTCGGGCGCAAGCGAGTCGGGCGCGCAAGCGAGTCGGGCGCAAGGGGATCGGGCGCATGCGAATCGGGCGCAAGGGAATCGGGCGCAAACGAATCGGGCGCAAGCGAATCGGGTGCAAGCGAATCCGGCGCAAGGGAGTCGGGCGCAAGCGAATCGGGCGCAAGCGAATCGGGCGCAAGCGAATCGGGCGCAAGCGAATCGGGCGCAAGGGAATAGGGCGCAAGCGAACCAAGCGCAAGCGAATTGGGCGCAAGCGAATCGGGCGCAAGGGAATCGTGCGCAAGTGAATCGGGCGCAAGGGAATCGGGCGCAAGGGAATCGGGTGTCAGAATTAGCAGTAGAAAGTAAGAATGAAGAAAGGAGGAGGTTCACTAGCAAGCAATTGAGTACATATAGGAAACCCTAGATTGGGCTGTACTCGCTATAGAGTACCCCACTGCAGGCTAGACAAATACAACATTCTGACACACCCCCATAGTCAAAGTGGGGTGTAATCAGCACAATGAGCAGGTATAGCAGGAGTTCACAATAAGAAGCAAAGCTAGAGGTAATCACAGCGGGCAAGTGAGGAGGAGGAGGGACTGTGAGAGGAGAGAAGATGAGAGACGGCGGCTGAAGCTGCAGACACACGGGCAACAGGAGCTGCTGGCACAGTGGCTACCGGGACAGTGCGCCCCGGACTACTGGAGTAACTGGCTCACGGGCTACGACGAGCTACAGGAGCAACGGACCCTCGGGCGACAGGCGCAGCAGACTCTCTGGGCTACCAGGACAGTGCGCCCCGGACTACAGGTGCTGCGGACGACAAGACAGCAGCCTCCGCTCAACCTCCTCCAACTGTCCCACACACCCCCCACACACCCACTGCTTCACTCCTAACTCCACTTGCACGTCACCCCCCTAGTACCACTCCTTCGGCTCCCACACACCCACCCCCCTCAGCGGCAGCTGCAGTAGTGGGAGACGGAGGAGGAGGAGGAGCATGGGACGACGCACAGAAACTGCACCCCCATACCCCCCACCCCAAAATCTAATTCAGGAGAACGGGCAGCAGCAGGGGTGGGGCGCCGTCAGAAGCACGGGGGACAGCGGGCAGCGCAGGGGCAGAGAAAACAGGGCGCCTACGGGCCTGGCGCAGCCCGTACGAACCGCGTGCGGGCGGCCCGAGGCGCGCCCTGGCCTGGCGCAGTCCGTACGGGCCGCGCGCGGGCCTGGCGCAGCCCGTACGGGCCGCGCGCGGGCCCTACGCAGGTCGCGCAGGCCGCGACGGGCGACGGGGGGCGACGCGCGGGTCCCCGTCGCCCGTCGCAGCGCCTCCCGGGAGCGACGCGCGGAGTGACGGGGCAGAAAGCCGCCGCGCACCTCGGGGCGCACGGCGGGCAGAAAACCGCCGCGCGCCTCGGGGTGCACGGCGGGCAGAAAACCGCCGCGCGCCTCGGGGCGCACGGCGGGCAGAAAACCGCCGCACGCTCCGAGCGCGCGGCGGGATGAAAAATCCGTCGCACGCCACGGGGCGTGCAACACACAGAGTAGCAGTAGCACCGGAAGCAGTGAGGTGGTGGGCCCACCCAGAGGATCGACCCAAGGGGATCGACCTGCTCTGATAGCATTTCAGAATTAGCAGTAGAAAGTAAGAATGAAGAAAGGAGGAGGTTCACTAGCAAGCAGTTGAGTACATATAGGAAACCCTAGATTGGGCTGTACTCGCTATAGAGTACCCCACTGCAGGCTAGACAAATACAACATTCTGAGATCGGGCGCAAGAGAATCAGGCGCAAGGGAGTCGGGCGCAAGGGAGTCGGGCGCAAGGGAATCGGGCGCAAGCGAATCGGGTGCAGGGAATCGGGCGCAAGCGAATCGGGCGCAAGTGAATCGCGCGCAAGGGAGTCGGGCGCAAGGGAGTCGGGCGCAAGGGAATCGGCGTAAGCGAATCGGGCGCAAGGGAATCGGGCGCAAGCGAATCGGGCGCAATCAAGTCGGGCGCAAGGGAATCGGGCGCAAGCGAATCGGGCGCAAGCGAATCGGGCGCAAGGGAATCGGGCGGAAGGGATTCGGGCGCAAGGGAATCGGGCACAAGCGAGTCGGGAGCAAGCGAATCAGGCGCAAGCGAATCGGGCGCAAGCGAGTCGGAGGCGAGGGAATCGGGCGCAAGGGAATCGGGCGCAAGGAAATCGGGCGCAAGGGAATCGGACG